AGAGAGAGAGAGAGAGAGAGAGAGAGAGAGAGAGAGAGAGTCGTTGTCATCGATCGCGTTCGAGCCGAAATGTTTTTTTTTGGGGGGTCGCTCTTGACACCATCCGGTAGTACACACACCCTAACTTTTGACCTTCCCAGACTGACTGTTTGTCACCAGCAAACAGATCGATAGCAACAGATTCACAAAAACGTTTCGATGTGACGGGTTCCAACGAGATCGTTAGGTGGGTGATAGCCAGAAAAAACACCATGCATGCATGTCGGGCCTCGGGTCGACCCTACCTACGTACGTACGTCCTTTGGTGGACCGGACACAAAAAGTGGAAAAAATCGGATCGAAGAGGGAAAAAAAAACCTCCGGAGAGAAAATCGAAACTGAAACATTGTCAGAGTTCATGCGAGATGAGTTTGGAAGATCATACCGAAGACTTGTGTGCGACGCACATACTTGTACAGTTTTCATTCAACTCCTGGGTGGAAACGTTTCGGCCACCGGCCATCGCATGCAAGACCCCCTTCAGCCAAGCTGACACGTGAGAGCACGGGAACTTACCGTAAATGTTTAGACCGTACAGTACTTCGGTGGCTTAGGTACGCCCATTCCTCGTGACATGAGAATAATGTGATCGATCGAAACGCTCTGCACTACACCACGCGTCGTCACCAAAAAACAAAAAGTCCGGAAACGAGTGAGTGACCGGAAAGAAGAGACAGACACACATTCCAGGCATGACAACATCAAAGCGGAGAATCACAATTAGACGGACTCGACAGACCTTGGTGACGAAGGTGCACTCTCCTCGATAAACCATGCGGATGAAGGGAGAGGAATCCGTCGGTAGCATCGGAAGCACAAGCTCGGCATCCTCGCTACTGCACAGGGTCCCTGTTCTCACCGCTTTTCCCGGCTGGACACCCCCGTGGATGACCCTCTGCGCGAACGGGGGGGTGGGGGTTCGGGAGGGGTGGAGTCGATCACCACACGCCCGTTTTCTGTCGGCACGGTATTTCGCAGTACCCCCTACGCCTAGATTTCTCTTGGGGACCGAGAACTGCTTCTGTTGCTTCTTCTGGTGCTGCGCGAGCGACAGCACCAGCTGTCTAACTTGTGCCGAGTCACGTGCTTGAAGCAACTGTGGGGCAAGGAGCGAGGAGCGCACCCATCTCCACAAACAACGCACAGGGTGGCAACGAGCCATTGACACGGATGGCACCACAATTTTTCCCATGTGGTAGTATGAGTACGCCCCCCCCCCCCGCACGGATAACGGGAGGATGGGTCCATATCGATAGGAGTATCAACCCTGCCACGCGCGGAAATCGTTGAGCACGGGATGGATGGCACGTGTTCTTCTCTTCTTCCCTCCTCCAACTTTCTTACGGGAAACATGATGGTGCTGCTGTAGTCCACACGCACACACAAGTAGGTGATGGGCCCTACCTCGGCGATGACCCCACCATACGGGTGGTGTGGTCCGAACAGTGCCTCGTCGTGCTCATCACCCAAGGCGCGAGACAGGGCTGTCGGAAGGGGAAACTGTAGCCGAGGGACGACGGCCTGCGTTGGCGTCTGGTGGCCACCGCACGCCACGCGAGGAAGGAACAACACATGGTTGGAGGAGCGCGCGGGGTGTGTGACCCGAAGTGGAGGGCCGGACGAGTAGGAACAAGGTATTCGTGAAAATTATGATTCACGCAGACATCATATGACGGCGTAGACAGCACATGACGGGTTTCCCCCCCAGAAAGGATCTGGCATGAACTGCCGTCCACGGCGGCGAACCAACAAGCTGCAAGCAGACCGCCACATTGGGCGTCCACAACGGTCTTGGCCGGCCGAGGTATCTGCCTTGTCAGCGAGACTCACGGAGTGAATTGTACTTGGCCGATCACTTCGTGGCAAGCACACTCTGCGGGCAAGACAATAACGAATCTCTCTCACACGCCACGAGCAACGCGTGGCGGGCCTTGGGAGGTGTCCTTGGATCGACTCTCTCACCCTAAAATTGGGACAAATGCATGCACTCTATTTTTCACCAAAAAATATCTACACCAGATAAGCACTGTAAACACTTGGTAGGTTTGCCTACAAACCAAGGGGGCGAAACATGAACTGAAAAAGCAATGCAGAGACTACCTGTCTCGATATTGGGGAGGAAATAACACGCACGGGTCGTATGATTCGTTGCTCCCCATTCTGACGTATCATTCGCCCTTCGTGATATGCATATGCTTGAAGTGCGTACTGTAAATACGAGAATTGAAGATGGTGTGAACATGACCGCCGGGGTATCAGCGATTGATTCGTTCTCCAGGCCGGGGTATCTTCAAGCCTCCAACCTCTTCGAGTCTAATGCAACACACCTAGAAACAAAAAGCTCTGAAGGAGATCCCAGTGGCATTTATTCACACATACATGTCGTCTTGTATCATTGCGGGCACACGTACCTCCGCGGCTGCGTCTCTCCATCCTTTGCAGATGCACAGCAGCGGTATTGCTGAACACAGGTGTGGTCCGGCAGCAGCGACCTTTATACATTATGTCGACAATGGGAAGAAACCTGGTCTCCCCGCTGAATGCTCGACACCCCAGCCCGATGAAGCTTCCAGTCACGATGGCGCAGAGCACGATGGGTACCTGACACTTGCCGTATGGGCTATGATGGGCGCACTGAATATGCGAGAAAGGCCGAGCTGGGCACCTCAGAGCCTACGACTTGGTCGCAACTAATGTGGCTGTCTAATGCCAGGAATGCGATTTCTCGGAATATTCCATGTGCGGGAAGGTGCAGGTCGTGCACCACGCGACCTAGCTTTTTACCTCTCTTGCGCCGCGGCGTAGGATTACACGTCCAGTAATCTAGCACTCAACAATGCGTATCTTTTGGTCGGGTTGGGGTTAGGGATATGCTGCTATTGGTTCGGAACGGTGGTGAAAAATACTACCGAAGCTTGATGAAGGCGCAACCAGGAATCACAAACCGTTTCACAGTTTTTTCCATCCGACCAAGTCGCAGACGCCCCGCAAAACGAAGTCTTTAAAGCTCAACTCAATGCACCGCACCAAGAGTCTTTTGGTCCGGTACGATGTGGGACAGCCCGCCGCCGCCGCCGCTGGTGTGATTCTGCGGTCGTCGTGTGAGGGGAGCGAAAGGATGGTCACGATCCCCTCTTCATGTTTTTCGGCGCCTCCTGTCCGGTACCATTCTGTTTCTGTATGCATTCCACATCACACAACATAGAGAATCACTGTGTGGTTGCTGCTGCTTTTACTATTGTTGTTGTGAAAACAGGAAAGAGTGCCCAGCCCGAGGGAACGCAGTCTTCGAGGTCGAGGACCGTAGAAAAGACGGCCAGTCGTTGCCATGTCTACATACATACATGAATATCAGGATTGATTCCGTTTTTCCATCTTAAGAGAAAATAAATATGAAACGATCTCGATCTTCCGATGATCTTCGGGGCAAATAACGGCTTGAATATTTAACGACCCCAGCAAACGCCACCTGCCAAAGCAGCTGAGGATGCTGCAAACGGAGGAGGGTGCACTCAAGATTCCTGCAAACCGCTACCTCTCCAAACCCGACCCGTGCTGAGAACGAGACAAGGCGCACACCAACGGTTCTTTGTGCCCACCATCCACATGAAAAGTAGCAGCTTGTTGGACCAGTAGCGCGCTGTTGAAAAAGGGATTGTCGCAATGCATAGATGAGATTGTTATATTACCTGGTACAGCTATTCACTATAACAATATATATGTAGTCTAGAGGTGAAAACCAGCAAATACCATAGGGCAATGCGTCTGCTCATTGTCATGTTATCCAGGGAAATTTCGAGCAAGGAAACACAAAGTCTGCAGCGAGGCCACCCGAAATTGCTGCGTGAGCGGTCGTGCCCACCCCCAACGCTTCATTCACTCCACCAAGCATTCTGCTTGCCTAGTCCAACCGACTCGGGCCTTGGAGATGGCCGGTACCCGTCCTTCACACGTTTTCCGTCATGCCTTGTGTGACAAAATCAAATAGACCTTCAACATTTCAAGGGACAGGCAACAACGTCGTTCGAACCCGATCCATAGTATCTATGTAGATTATTGAACTACAGCGCAAAGACGTGAAGACTACTGCAATTCTTCATAAGAACACTCACCTACTGTACGATGGGCTCGACTTCTTCAGAACAGATTAAGACCCCGAGGCACACGGCGGTTTTGATATGCCGGTTGAAGATTTTCCGAACCACCGAAAAAAACACACGAAGAGAATACACCGACCGCTTACAAGTACATTTGGTATCGCCCGCAGAGCGACCAACAACTCTAGCCCCCCGGGCAAAACCACCAACTTGCGTTCAGTACAGGATCCAACATACCGTATGTGACACAAGATTACACACCCCCTGGACCAATTTTCGAAGCTCGATTACGCCACGACGAAGACAATCCATAAATGAAACAACACATTTTCGGAAAGCTCTCGACGACACGGCTTCAACGCTACCGTTTTCGGTGCTGTGAAGCTTTCTGCTGTTGAGAAATCGAGATTTGAAAATCGGTCCCAGGAGGTGTGTTGTCTTGTACCGTTTACGGTACTGTAGTCTTGAATGTCTGGACACAACGCTCGTCAAACTGGAACCCCTGCCGCCACTGTTGTGTATGCGACACTTCTTCTACCCCAGCTCATTGAATAGGGAGGAGTGCTAATACTTGCTTTTCCCAGACAACGCCTCAAACTTGAAGCATTTACACTATATCAATGTACCTTCCTTCTCGGAGATTAACACGTGGGCGCGTGCTACGCGCCGGCGCGCTGCCCCCTTCTATTGTAGCGTTTCTGGCTCAATAGGCCTGATGCCGGCTTCACACATGAGCATCGCTCATGCACGCTCGGTTGCACATCTCTCCGTGCTTCTATGCTTATGGCCCTCCTATGTAGCAATTGCGTAGGGCCTTTTCACACGCGGGTGTACGCTGTGTGTTTGTAAATCACATGTACGTATCCACGCTAACCTACGCTGCAATCACAGCTAGCTGTCGCTTTTCCCTTCCGCCCCACGATCCGCGGCGGCCGGTTACATGGCTTCCCCCCTCCCCCACCCCCCAACCATCGTCTCCTCGCTCCTTCGAAACAACGTCATTTTCTTTGTTACTCAGTGTCTCCTGCAGGATCCCAACAAATCCCTGCCTACAGGCGTCTCGTCTAGTCCACAGTAGTAGTCACTCGATGTCGCCATCAGGTGCCGGTACGGGCCACGACATCTCCGCCACCACCGGAATCCTTACTGCCAGTCGGCTTTTGACCATCCTCGCGTCCATTTTCTTCATCATAAAACTGTGCATGTTTGTAGTGGGATCGGGAGCGTCCTTTGAGTCTTGACCGCGCCACATAGGCAAAAGCGACAACAACCACGCCTCGGTGGCGGTGGCGGCGGCGGCGCCAGGATAGATCGAAAACACGCGGCCGCCATGAGTTCCGCGTGCATCTCGCTTGGAGTCACGTGAGCCGTTCAAGAGGGTACATGCGTTTTTCTAGGTGGCGATGGGGAGAACAATGTTTTCGTGCGCAGTTGTGGCGGTGAAACAGTCCCCGTCAACAGGAACAGCAGATCACTGACAGCGAGTCCGAGGGCATGCTGCGCGTCATCTTTTCACGTTTTCTCTCTTTTTGATGTACAACAATGCGCTGAGCGAGCGTGCATCCACTCTCCCCACACATACTCCAGCCGTCTTCCGACGTCTTTTCGAGTTGTACTAGGTAAAGCCCCCACCGCACCTTGGAATGGTAATGTCTGCGCCAGAGCCATCGTCTCCAATTGACGGACCGAACTCTTCACAAGGCAGACTGCCGGACGTGGAGCAGACACCAATCGCTTCATCGCTGCAACGGCACATGCTGTCCGCAAAGATCACACCGACCGCGCCCAGCTTTTGTGCCGTTCGCACCTGCATCCACAAATACGACGAGGCAGAACAAGAAGAATCGAACCGCCGGAAAAAACGAGGGACTTTGTAGCACGCGCGTCGTCGCAATACTTTTGTCTAAGAGTAGAGAGACGGGGATGGGGGGTGAGGGGGAACACTAAAGGGAGGCGGCGTAGATCACGCAAGTAGGCTCGAAAGAGATGGGGGCGAAAGGAGGGAATCACAAGGATGCCATCCTAGGTCTGTACAGATTTCGAGAGAGGAGAGAGAGGCGTAATGTTTTCGACAACATTTGCATACTGTAGACCAGACCAGGTGATGATGTCATTGATCGCCTTCGAGCCAAACGGCGTTTATTTGGGGTCTTCTTCGACACTATCCGGCATTGTACAGAAATTCCATGCACACACACCCAAGAACTGACTGTTTGCCACCACCAAATAGATGCGCACAATATTTTCGTAACCACGTCGTCTGGAGGGTTCCCACGACAACGTCACGTGGGCGACAGACAGAATGCCGTGCATGCACATCGGGCCTCGGATCGGCCCTACCTAGGAAAGTACGTGTTTTCTCGGTCTTGGCAACAAATGTGGCCGGACAAACTCGAACGAGGAACACAGAGGTTCGCTTTTACCGAATAAACTGATGGCGTAGGTACAGCTCTTGTTGCCGCCAGAAGAATGCTATCGATCCAAACGCTCCGCACTACACCACATGTCGTCACCAAAAAATGAAAACCCGGCAACGATAGCCCGAAACAAGATTGAATATTCCAGCCGCAATAAACATCAATGCGGAGAATGATGGACAGAAGGAGGACCCGACATACCTTGGTGGCGAAGGTGCACTCTCCCCGATCAACCATGAGGATGAAGGGAGAGGAATCCGTCGGTAGCATCGGAAGCACAAGCTCGACATCCTCGCCACTGCACAGGGTCCATGTTCTCATGGCTATCCCCGGCTGCACGCCCCCGTGGATGACCCTCTGCGCGAAACGGTGGAGGGTGTTCGTGAGGGATCGGGTCGATCGGTAAACGCCTCGTTTTTGTCCCCACGGTTTTTCCGCAATACCCCCAAAAGGCTTGATCCCTCTTGGGGGCCGAGAGCTACTGCTGCCGCTGCTGTTTCTGCTGCTGCGAGAGCGGCAGCACAAGCAATCCGACTGGTGCCGAGTCACATGCGAGACGCGACTGGGGCGCAAGGAGCGAGTGCATCCATCTCCACAAACAACACACAAGGTGGCAACGAGTCATGGCAAATACTACCACGATTTTTCACATCCATCTAATAGAGTAGCAACCGACTTTGCACAATCGTTGAGTACGGGATGGATGGCGCGTGTTCTTCTTCC